TTTATTGTCACGTAATACGCGAGAATATTTTTGACGTTGCAAAAATTAGAAAGCAGCGCACACGATTGTATGCGGCCGATTGTCATTGGGTTCTCACTTCTCAAGGAGACGAAACAATTCTTAAGCATAAAACTATCGGCCACTTACACACTGAAATACGTAATCATGCTGGAAATCTTTAAATATAAAGCTCACATTGACACAAATGTTTATTTCACTAGCGCTCCCTCGAGATGTTGGTTGAAGATGGTAGATATGACACAAGAGATGACTTTACTGTAGTAATTCAACCATTCTTTGAGGAGACTTATATACCACCTGATGGTGTAAGTATAGACATGTTACCATGGTAACATGTAGTTCTGTGGTTGGTTCATCAGTCTAGTCGGTTGTATCATGTAGTCAATGCTGCTGTATTTGCTCATCAAAATATTCCTAATTAGGTCATGGCCCAGTTAATGCTAGTCGATAATTATTCCGGGGTTATACCTTTTGACTGATTGTATATTGAGTGGTTTGCGTTACACACATAATCTTGTTGCACTTCTTCTGGATTGGTTTTGCTGATTAAATCTGACATTCAACAATTATAAGGTGACCGAAAGATGTGTGTATCCTGTTTAATTCACATTGAATTACACAAACTGAACATTGCATCGAACTTATGCAAATCATTATTTTTGTTTGCAGGAAGGTGGTTGGGATGGATCTATGTTCGCACCAGACTGTTTTCATTTCAGTGAATATGGACACCAAGGCTGTGCCATGAGTCTGTGGAATAATATGGTAACTATTATATAATAAAAACTTCATTGGTATTTTGAATAAAACAGAGTCAAATGCTATTCTAAAATCAAAAAAAGAAGAAGAAATGTTATATATATAGTTCAAACACAATAAATACATATTATAGATACTACTATGTCAGAAAATATCACTTTGGTTAATACAAACTGCGAGTCATCAGTATTACACCTTTCACCGAACCGTTCATCAAGTTTTATGTTCTGGAGAAATCTGTTCCATTCCTAATACATGTATTGGTAAAATGTGTCATATATCGATATTTAATTTCAGAGCCACTACATTGATTTCCAATATTCAAATTCAGGATCTCTACATTGAATTCCAATATTCAAATTCACGATTTCTACATTGAATTCCAATATTAAAATTCAGGATCTCTACATTGAATTCCAATATTCAAATTCACGATTTCTACATTGGTTTCCAATATTCAAATTCACGATTCATATACATATTTTATAATGCATACAGATTGAACGAGTCGGAGAGAAACGCAAAGCATGGCTTCCTGAAGACAAATTGGAGTGTCCATCGGAGGTGAGTCTATCAAACAATATTCGATTTATTAAGAGATTATACAAATACAGTGCTTTGATCAAATTCGTGAGTTGATTTCGTGTATGTTCTTCTCTATCTGCAGGATTTCGAATACTTCTACACATATAAGAACTCAAACGAGACCGAGCAGAACATGGATCCCATAGGAGACTTGGATCCCATAGGACAAGCATACGTGGTTACTATGCCATCACTGACATTACTGTTAACAGTCATGGTTATACATGCGTATAATCAATTGATAACAAAAGTTAATTGTGAATTATTTAGAAACATTACTTTGACACTTTCTAAGGTTAAGTGATTACAACTTGGAAATAGGATTAGTAGAAAAAGTAAGCCAAGCACTGAACTGAGTTAGAGGCTGCGTATGTTGAAAATAAAAATCATTTGGTCTAGAGTATGTTTAATTCATGAATTAAAGAAAAGAATTTTTCAAGATTACTCTATAAATTATGAAAAGATAATAGAGATACTATCTTTTAAAATTTTGGCAAAATACTTAAAAACTGCAGTGTATATTTAACCACGAAACCTGAAAATAGAACACGACGTGACGTTGTATCTTTGCATTTTTACAGTTATACATGTTGCTGTTATGTCAGTTCTTCTATTATATTACCTATGATGGCATTTAATATTGTTGTGTAGTAATTTGTTTATTAGGAATGTTGCCACAATATAGAAAATAACGCTGTCAATAAAAAGGCCGGGAATCGTCTCTTTGCGTATGTACAAAACATAATAATATACACATGTAATAATGTAATGATGTTCATATCGTGAATATTTCGAACATTCACACACATAAGGATAATAGAGTAGAAATGGACATTCTCACGCATGGTATGTTGACTGAGAACAAAGCACTGTTAAACTAGGAAGAAATCCGAGGGCGCAAAACTCCGCCATGCAACCTACACTAACATTCCATGTATATATTACATACTCACGTAAGTTTCTAATCTCTTTTTGAAAATTTAGTATTAAATAGGACCAAGGAAAAGCTCACCGGGACATTTCATGAACATTTGTAAATAATTTTGTGAACTGTAGATGAAATATCATTCCCCTTTGTTTTATTGGCAACCATATCTAAATCACTACCAAATTCTTATCAATTAGGCAATATCAAGGTCAAACCCTTTCAAAAGTTTCATGAGAACAACCCATAAGTTTCTTATAGTTATAAATAGAAAAAAATATTCCCAAAAGTCCTGTTTTCAGGGGATAGAGATCCGCATCTCTACCAAAATGTAGTCGATCGGTTTAAATCAAGAGCAACCCCTCCTGTGAAAATTGCTTATCTGTCCATTAACACACTTTGGAAATATAAATGAAAATTCATTTGCAAAATTGTTGTAGCAAAACCAATAATACACATGCATAAATCTATGTAACAATGATGTTGATGGTTCATGTTTTATGTTGAAATAACTAATCAATATACATCTTGCAAACAAGGATATATTCAGTTCTGTGTCATAACTAAATATTTGCCGCCAATTCCACAAATATTTCAAAAATATTGTTTTTTCATGCTTGACTTGATTACCCTCGGGTGACCACAGTAGATTGGAAGTATTTTTTTAAATATGAAGTTGTAGAAATTCACATTTTATTGAATGATCGTCCATGTAAATATATTTAGTGGTCTTATTGTGGCCATCAATAATATATATCGTCGTAGTGGGCGGTATTTTACATTGAAATAGTAGTTCACGTTGTGCAATTAGTGTTTCTATTGAAAACTTTCTAGCTTTTGATAGAAAAGCGAAAACATTTGAAACACTCCTCGTAAAACTATATGTCGGGTACAATACAGACTATTAAAACAATCTAGCAAATTTAAACTACAAACACTATTACTAGTCTTTCATTATAAGAATCACGTGACTGACACATATTACAATATATAGTTAAGCTGCAAGGTTTAGTATTTAAGGGTGGTGGTTTGTTAATTTTCTTTCTTTGAGGTTTGCTGAAACTGAAACATTTTCTTAAAAACCCAAGACATCGTGCACCACTTTTTTTTTTTTTTTAGATTGCCAAACTTCGAGATTGCCAAACTTCGAGATTCAACGACGACGTTTCACTTTTCACGACCTTCTATACCATAGTAGATATTACAAACAAACATTTAAAAAAGACTGGCTAAGTATTGAGCTGTACTATTGGTACTGGACATAGCTGGGATTCAGTAGCTTAACCTTTAGATACCCTCACCCATATCTCCAGGAGACCAGTCTGCTGTTTTAGGTACATGGTTGGATAATTGATGAGATCATAGATTGTTATAATGATAGCAACGAGATAAAGTATTTATCGTCAATTAAAGGTACCGCGCGCTGCCCTTGTTGAAACGCCGCATCTCATTGGTCGATTGGTACCACGTGCAACCTTGTTATCAGCTTGTGTTATCAGATGATAACAGTTCAGTGCTTGAGGTCAATGCGCGAACAAACGAACAAGATTGTTTTTGTGCGACTCATCAATATTTAATGCTACCCCACACTTATATAGAGATTTTAAACAACAAGCCCTACATTATGTGTCGTGGTTAAGAAATCATGGTTATTTTCATCTGGAAATTAATCTACTAAAATGTGTTTATGTTCGCATGTCGTTTGCTCGTGAACTTATACCCGTAACTGAAATACAGGCATCGGTGACGCGCTAACCTCACTGTATATTTCTTTTTTGTCTACTACTACTGCACGTATGTTCAAATATTATATAATTAAAATAAAGGATTCGGACAGGCTCGAACGGGGATGTTCGCTTGTGCTACGTCTCGCCCATTATTGCACACACTTCCGTCCTTGCCCTGTTTTCACGCAATAATGAACAGTGTAGAGTCCTTCCCTAAATAGTATACACGTGCCGCTGATAACTAATCAAGTATACAACTAAGTCACATATATGTGTTACTAACTGCTTATGTGTGATTGGTGATATAATAACTCAGCACGCCCTCTTGTGACAGTGATTCGGACATTGAATACTTGACTCTTAGATCATTAAAGTTACCTTACTAGATGTATACGCCCTTTATCACTACATAGCAAACATATTATTTCCAGTCGTATGATGTGGATGTAGTTTCAGCCTACATCTTGTCAGTACAGCGTACATGGCCAGCAGCTCTCAGCGC